GTCCTTTATGCTATAAAATCATAATATTAGGGACCTTAAAAAAAAACCCCTTTATTTTATTAACTTATTTAGGAATGGTTTGGAATGTTCTAAATAAGGGGTGTTTTGGGAAGATAGTTAAAAATTATTTTTTGACTCTTTTTGATTTTTTTGTGAGAGAGAGAAGTAGGTTAAAAGCTGAGAAGTGGGTTAAAAGTCACTTCCCAAAACATCCCTAAGTACACTTTTTGACTTTTATATTAAAAAAAATGTGTAAAAAAGTAGAGAAAGTGGACAAAAAAGTAAAAAGAAGATGTTGATTGATGTGACCCAAATAAGTACATGTATACAAAAAAAAAAGTGCACTTTTTTAGTGCATGCCAAACACCTACTTACGGGTGGTTTGAGATATTCTAAATAAGTGTACTTTTTAACTTTTTATAAAAAAAATGTGTAGAAAAGTAAAGAAAGTGGATAGAAAAGTAGAGAGAAAATGTTGATTGATATGAACACGTCTATTTTATCTTTTTATATTTTTTTAAGCCCCAACTAACTTTCCAAATGGAGACAGGGTTATTTTGGTTAGATAAAGAGCTATATTGATCAATTTGGTATTACGTGATTCTTTCTTCAGCAAGTTTAAAATTTAATTTAAATTCGGCCATCAAGTCAGACGGGACTTAAAAAACAATAAACATACAGTGACAAATTCGGAATTCCTTAATTATTTAAGAGATAATTACCTAAAAGTCCTATCAACATGTTTGGTTGTAGCTTAGGTCCTATCAAAAAAATTTTGAACCAATAAGTCCCATTTGTAGGTAAAAAGACGTGTTTGCCCTTTAATATAAACAACTGTATATAAAATTCCATTCACGTTATTTACTAGAAAAAAAAAAAAGAAATCAGTAAACAGATCAGTTATGGAAGTAGCTGAAGATTCGAATCGTGAACAATCTTGAATGATTTATTGCTTTGGTTCGCTATTATACGTAACTGATTTCTCGATTTTGATTCGAATAGGAAAGGATCTTGAAGGATTTCTTAGTTTGGTTCGCTTTTTGAGTTAAAATCTGTTGGAGTTTGTTATGTGCAATTTCGATTTATAAATTGAAGAATTGATTTGCTGGATATTTGATCTTCGATCTGCTTTATAGGTATGTATTGTTTCGATTTTGTGTATTATGTCTTTTTAGAATTTTCTTTAGTTTTGATTGAATTTATTTATGAGAATATGTTGAATAATTTTGTTTTTACAAATTGAAAACGTGATTTGCTGGATGATTTCTCAGTTTGGTTATTTATTTTATGAATTGAAAACGTGATTTGTGAAGTATTTGTATTGTTATTAAGTTTTTGTTCTGGTTTTTATTGTTATGAAGTATTTGTGAAAACTGAGAAAGTTCTTAGTATTGTTATGAAGTATTTGTTCTAGTTTTATTGATGCGATCTTTTTTTCTTGTTTAGATTGAAAGATGAGTGAAGGTTGTACGAGTGCGCCTATTTTTTTGTTGTGCAAGTATAATGGTTCCACATTTGCAATTAAGATTGATTAAAATGTTACATATGATCAGTTGGTTGAGAAGCTATGTTTGAAATGGAATAATTTGCAATCTGATAATATTTGTCTATCTTACCCATTGCCTGGACATCCTAATTGTACGTTGGACAACAATGAGGAGTTAGATTTGTTGTTGGCATTAGTTATGCATTTTGATTCAAAGTGTATTGATATTGTTGTGAGAGTAAAACACTCAACCATTAACTGTGGTTATCTCAACAAAAAGATTGGATTAGGGAGAAAGAGAGTCAATGTTGGATCTTGAAGTTTGTGATATTGCATTGTCTCATGACAGCAGTAAGTCTGTGAACTTGTCAAATAGAGCATCTACATCCTCCAAAAGGAATTCAAGGTTGGAGGTTGAAGAAGAGGTCGATATGTTATCATCATTTTGTCGACACAAGAAAAAAGTACTATTGTCTGCTGGTTGGGCAGTTAGTATTACATATGTAGGACATAAATTTGAAGGTGGAATTGTTGAATTTCGTAATGCATTGTTGAAGTTTTCTATTGAGTGTGGATTTGAGTTCATATTTGTTAAGAATGATAAACTTCGTGTTACCGCACAATGTTTGTTTAGAGAGGCAAAAGGTTGTATGTGGAATGTTCATGGTAAAGTGGAGAATGCTAATAGGTTCTTTTATATAAGGAAGTTGAAGAATGTCCACACATTTGGTGTTGAAGTACGTACAATGAATCATTCTCGTATGAGTTCTGATTTAGTTGCTGATTTGATTGTTGAAGGTGTTCGTGATAATCCATTGACACGTCTAGTTCATGTTGTTCAGGATTTTAAGTTGAGGTATGGGCTAAGAGTTAGTTATCGTCAAGCTTGGTTAGGGGTAGAGAAAGCAAAAGGTGAGATTTTTGGAGACTACTTAATGTCATTTGACCAGTTAAGATGGTATGTGGATGTTGCAAAGAGTTGCAATCCAGAGAGTTACATTGAGTTTGAGTGTGACGATGATACTAAACGGTTTAAGAGATTATTTGTTGCTTTTCATGGTTCCATTAGTGGATTTGATTATTGTCGACCTCTCTTATTCCTTGATGGCACATTTTTGAAGGAAAGATTTAGAAGAAATTTACTTGTTGCTATAGGAAAATATGGAAATCAAGGTACATAAGAAATCTGTTTTCTCTGTTCTGAAATTGAGAAAGTTCTCAGTTTAGAAATATGATTGAATGTTTTAAATTTTATATAATATCGTTGTTGTATATGCATTTTTTATTTTTTCAATTATTCATTTTAGTGTTTGATATTTTGAATGTTAAAGTGTTACAATTTTCTAAGAATAATAGAATATTTTCATTTTTTCTGTTTTGTACACCCAGGGTTCTACCCTGTTTGTTTTGCAGTTATTGGCTCAGAGAATCAAGATAACTGGCGTTGGTTTTTCGAGCATTTGAGTAAAATTGTTTCACCAGAACGAAATATTACATTTGTGTCAGATCGTAACCTTGGATTAGTTGACGTGTTGCAAAGGTTTTTCCAATGGCTTTCCATGCTTATTGTTTATATCATTTGAAGATGAACTCGAGGCATCATTTGCGTGGTATGTTTCATGGATTGAAAGAAAAGCTGATCACTCTGTTTGGGAAATGTGAATATACTCCAACTGAAGAAACATTTCATCAATGTGACTGAAGGTGGGTTAAGAGTTGAAAAGTTTTTAGATAACATACCATGTGATCATTGAAGTAATGCATATTTTTTAGGGCAACGCATTGGAGAGATGTGGTCAAATGTAGCTGAATCTTTCAATTCGTGGATACGAGGGGAACGTCACTTGCCTATCACAAAGTTGATTGATAGTGTAAGAATTAAGTTGATAAGGAAAATTGCTAAGATGAGGGAACTTGTTAATAAATGGAATGGTTTGATATACCCTAAAATGGAGTCCAAGTTGTGTGATGGTTTTAATACTTCGAGGCCATGGATTGCTAGTTCATCTGGAAATGATGTCTATGAGGTGCATTCACATCCATCTGTTTCAGTTGACATTAGTAGACGAATGTGTTCTTGTGGCGAGTGGCAATTGAAAGGGTTTCCATGTGCACATGCAATTGGTGCTATACAAAAGAGTGGACATGATTTGAGTTTATTTGTTGATCAATGCTTCTATGTTCAAAGTTATCGAGAGTCCTATTCTTTTCCCATATATCCTGTTCCTTCAATTTGGAAACCAGATTGTAATGTTGATGGTGATAGTGAAGTTGTTCTTCCTCCTTTATCTAAAAAGCAACCAGGAAGGCCAAATAAGAAGAGGATTCGTTCGAATGGTGAGAAAGTAAAGCAAATTACTTGTAATAGATGTGGGAAGGTTGGCAATCATATTAAGAAATCGTGTATGGAGGCTTTGTGATTTTTTGTAGCTGCTTTGCAATTGTAAAAATTTCGTATTCATAAATTTCTTGAAGTAGCAGTTTGTATTGTTGAGCACTGAGTAATAATCTTCTATGTTTTGAATAAAGTGACATTGAATTGAAAGTGAAAATATTCTTAGTTTCAATTTAATTTTGAAATTGTTTGTGATAATATTGTTTGGTTGGCTTTCGTAAATAAACTTGACTGTTGAATATTTGTTTTGAAGATTATGTGAATACTGTATAAAAAGTGAACATATTCTCAGTTTAAGTTTTTAGTTCAAAATAGCTGATTTTGTGATAATAGTGTGAGGCTCTTGTTATGAATTGGAACTAGTTATAAATGTGATCAATTGAATGAATGTGAATTAATATCCTAAATAGATGTGATCAATGCTCTATGTTTTGATTAAAGTAACAGTTTTGAAAATGAAAATATTCTTTGTTTTGAATTTTAGTTTTTCAAATTGTTATAATATTGTGAGGCAGCAAATAAATTGTTGTGATAATATTGTTGTTTGAAAATTAAGTGATATGTATAAAACTGAAAATATTCTCAGTTTTAAAGTTTCTAAGTTTGAAAATAAGTGATTGTGATAATACTGTGAGGCAACAAAACACTGCATAAAAATTGAAAATATAAACAAAAACATCAACAAAGCACTAATTGTGATACAGTAAAGTCTTGTGTCCACTATTTTCACATGTAATACTATTTTCACTTTTCCCATATAGTAGTGTGAGGAACAAGATATGAGAAACTGAGAATATGGACAAAAACATCAACAAAGCTCGGGTGCATATATTTTTGAGAGTATGACAAAATATTCCATTACACATTATAAAAATTGTAATATGTTTGTTAGGCAATTGGCTTGGAACTATTAACAAAAACATTAGTCATTGTATCAGAGTGATACAAAAAAGAGTTTATTGAGTTACACGTCAAAAAAGATTTCATTGAATGTTGCAATCTTGACTTTACTTGACTTTGATTGACCTTTGTGGATCACTAAGGAACTCATGTACCACGTCTGCTCTGAGTCTTGTAGATGTGCCTGGTGGTAATGTGTTTGGAATTGGTTGATGCCTCATGTATTGTCTTATGATATAGCAAACAATAATTCCACAGTCATTCCTACAGAAATCATTTTTGACACAGTTAGGGAAAAAACAAAATTTTTTGAAAAAGATATTAAAATTTGTTAGTTAGAATGAAATAACATACGTCATTGCTTCTTGTTGAGGGCTGTATTTGACTGATTCAATCTTGACATCAGGATTCCATGCTTTTTCTGCTTGACAAGGTGTATCCTTCAAGTATTCATGGATGATTTTTTGCTGTAAAAAACATCAATATAAAGTATGTAATGATTTACATCTGATTATTGTAATGGTAATCTGAAATTGTTTTTACCAGTTGATTTGCAACGTTGTAGTGCTTGTCCTTTCCTTTTCTTGGTCTCAAAGAGTTGAAATGTTTCTAAGTCCCCAAGTGTTTGTCGATAACAAGTAATGTCCAATGATTGAAATTGTGGATGTATCTACATGGGAGGGGTTCCTGCAAAGTATTTTTCAAAATCTTTTTCCTTTATTCTGAAGTCTTCTTCTTCAACATTGGTTATTTTTTACAAAAAATATGTGAATATTCACAGTAATGGTACGAACTCAATATTCAAATGTCGATGAAAAGCAACAAAACATGATTAACTATGATTTATAACTCAAATTGTTTTGAAATCTGAGTATATTCCTAGCAATGATATCAAAATCAAAATTTGAGAACATTCACAATAATGATAACAAACACAAAAAATCTACTTTGTAACCAAAATTGAACTAAAGATAAAGTAAAGAATTGACACATGCACATTTATTTCTTACCCAATATAGACTTGACAGTATGAAAGACTTGCCATTGTGCTCTACTCCATCACCAGAATTCTGTACTTGTGGTTCTCTTTTAAGAATCTCAGCATATGCATCAATTGTCTATCAAATTGAAACACAAAAATGATGTTAACAAATTAATGATAAGTTTTTCAGTGTTAAAATATTACAAATATTATACGTACACAGCTGGATATGTCTGTCCCTTTTACCATGTTCTTGATATCATTAATAAACACAATTATCATATCTTGCGCCAAATCATATACAAGCACTACAAAACAATAAAAAATGTGTTAATAATTAAGTCAAAATATTTTTAGAAAACAGAGCAATTTCTCAGTTTCATTTCATATATTTGTACTACATGAAAAATTGCAAGATTTATGTAAGATTATACCTTGATTCTGTTTGCTTTTCTTTCCAAAGAATTTGTAGTTTATATTTATCTTCAGGAGGTAGCAATTGAGCCACAACATACTTGTTAGAAATTGTCTCATCTTTGTGTTCCTTCTCTTTCTCAACTTTAACTTTCTTGCCTCTATACTCATAATCTGATATCTTAGTAGTCTTCCTTGCTTTAGCTTTGATATTTTTAATCATGAAATTCTGTAGATTTGTTTGTCTTGATTCTGTTAGATCATCGGCTTTTATTGCACAAACTTGTTGGGTTAAGTCATGGACTTCTTCCTTCACTAACTGATTCTGCAATTGAGAATTTTGACAATCTTTCACATTTGTATTTGTCTCACAATGTTTTGTTGCAAAAGGTTGTTGCGTTATCTCATAGACCTCTTTCTGATGGAGCTCTTTGTCCACCACTTCAGAATTTTCATGGACCTTTTTCTGCAGCACTTGAGAATTTTCATCGTTTATTGTATGACCTTCATTCTTTGCATCTGTCCCAGAATGTTTTACTTCACAAACTTTTTGGGTTATCTCATGGACCTGTTTTTCAACCAATTGGTTATGCAGTCGAGAATTTTCATCTTTCAATTGTTGTATTTGTGCTGTGAGTAACCTGTTATCCTCTTCAAGTTTATTTATGTAGATAGTCTTCACTGTGTTGTCAAGTTGCAAATTGTTGTTCTCAGTTTGAAGTTTCTCAAGTGTTTGTTGATGAATTTGTTCTTCTCCCTCAGGTGCATCATTGAGTATAATGTTGCAGAAGCCATTAAAGTCTTCATTTGCTGGCTTTTGTTCTTGGTGGCATTCTTCAGCATATTGACCATCTTCTTCTTCTTCTTCTTCTTTAGTATTTTCAGCAGTTTGTTTTTGTTGTTCTTGTTCTTGTACTTCTTGTTCTTCTTCTTCAGCATCTTCTTGTTCTTCGTCTTCAGTATTTTCAGCATCTTCTTTTTCTTCTTCTTTAGTGTCATCAAGTTCTTCATCATTTTCCTCACTCAATTGAGCACTAGTTACTTATAGGTCAACATACAATAGATATTAGTTTTTGAAATAATTGAAGTTTAGGAAACTAAAAAGTTTCTCAGTAATAATTCAGTGTATAAAAATAGGGATTTTTCCCAACTTGAATTGAAATTCAAATGAGATAAGGATAACTTCAGGGTGGATGATCAATGTGTGTTCACACAACCAATACTACAAAGAAAATGTAAAGAATTTTTTCCATTTGAATAAGAAATAATACTATCTGTTATTAACAACAAACTAATAGAATAGAGTAAAGATGTACTTACTAAGAGAGCCATAACACATCCTGTGACTTTTGCTAGATTTTTGTGGTATTTTTCAATTGAAGACATCAGTGTATTCCTTATTACTTCTGCCCAATTGTATTTTCTCATTAAGTTTATGTCTTCCATGTAATTAAGAAATATCCATCCAACTGTTGTTCCTAATGTAGAGAAAAAAAGCTTTAAACAAATATACATACACAGCATCCTTATCACATCTTCAGTGTCTTCTTTCTTCTTGCCTTTCAATGCTTTTTGCAACAAGTCTATGATGGTTGTGCTCGATAGCCTTTCAGTTTGTATGGATCTTCTTGTCAGAAATGATGATATACTTTTATTTCCATAACCAAGATGCATCGGCTCATCTCCACAAGATATACCGAAGATGGACTTGATGTCTTCTGTTGTCAGCTTTACAGTTTCTGGTCCTAACTGGAAAGAACCACTGCTGCTTGGCTGGTATGTTTGAATTATTTTCAATGCAATGTCATTATATTTTCTGCATTGTTTATAATTCATCTTGTTTTTCAATATTGCATCAAACAATAACCAAAATGGGGTTTTCTTCAACCCAT